CGACGACGATGATGATGATGATGATGATGATGATGATGATGATGATGATGATGATGATGATGATGATGCTGACGATGCTGACGATATTGATGATGCTGCGCTGATGCTGCTGATGATGATGGTGGTGATGATGATGATGATGACGGTGATGCTGCTGCTGCTGCTGATGATGATGATGATGATTATGATGCTGCTGGTGATGATGATGGTGATGGTGATGATGATGCTGGTGATGTTGATGATGGTGATGCTGCTGCTGATGATGCTGCTGATGATGATGCAGTTGCTGTTCATGATGATGATGATGATGATGATGATGATGATGATGATGATGATGATGATGATGATGATGATGATGATGATGATGATGATGATGATGATGATGATGATGATGATGATGATTATGATGATTATGATGATTATGATGCTGATGGTGATGATGATGGTGGTGGTGGTGGTGGTGATGATGATGATGAGGAGGAGGAGGAGGACACTGATGACGATTTCGACGATGATGCTGCAGCTTCTGATGATGAGACTGAAAAGGAGAAATATAAGGAGGATAAAGAGAAGGAGAAGGAGAAGGAGAAGGAGAAGGAGAAGGAGGAGGAGGAGGAGGAGGAGGAGGAGGAGGAGGAGGAGGAGGAGAGGAGAAGAAGGAGGAGGAGGAGAAGGAGGAGGAGGAATCTCATTCTAATTATATTTGTAAGGAGAACATCGGAATCTAGTTATCCTGATGTGTTTCTGATCTACCTGTTTGACATGGGGCGGGTTTCGGGGCCCGGGAGGCGTCCATGGAAAGACCCTCAAGGGGCCTCCGGGGTCTTCTAGGGGCCTCTGCTGTGTTTCCATTCGGGTGCCTTCGAGTAATCCGAGAGACTTGCAGAGGCTTCCAGAGGGAGGAGGGATGCAAGGGAGGAGGGAAGTGCTCACTTGGTGTCCCCCACCCCTTTTCCCTGCCAGCCTCTGCCTTCAGCGTGGCAGTCTGGCACTGGGAGGAGGCTCAGGCTCACTTGAGCCCCCTCCAACTTGGAGGCGGCGTGGGCCACCGACCGACTTGCATGCTCAGTTGTTGTGAATTGGCTACTATCAAGCGTCCGCTGCAGATCAACTTCGCGCCATGCACTTGCTTTCCCCTGTCGCTGAATGACACCAAAAAACGTGCAACAGATCTTTCGGAGTTGGTAGGGTGGACTCGGCGGACCAGGTGTAGATCTCGGCATGGGGCGCCACCCTGCAGGCGCAGCGATGGCACCGAGGGGCTTCGTACTGCTGCTCGAGACGGCGGCACTCCCTCTCTACCACTCCTCCTGGTCGCCCTTCCCCCCCCTGCCGTCTGAGGGCCCTGGCGCTTGCCCCCTCCCCCCCCGCCGCCGATGCCCTTCGCCGCTCCAGCCCCCCCTTCCGACCGCCTCGGGCCCCGGTGCTCGCCCTCGCGGCTCCCGCGGCCGACCTCCCTCGCCGTCCTCGCCCCCCCCCCCCCCCCGACCGCCTCGGGCCCGGGGTGCTCCGCCCCTCCGCTCGCCCCGCCGCCTTTCTTTCCTCGCCCTTGGTGGTGCCGTCCTCGCTGCCCTGCCCCCCCCCCGTGGGCTCCTGCGCGGTCGGACCGAGGTAATTAAAAGGTCGAGGTCGGCTCGGGGAGGGTGCCCCGGTGTGCTCCGTGTCTGTTTTGGAGGTTCTTGTGCCTCCTGGGGAGGGTGCCCTTGGAAGTTCTGTGCGCTCTGGCCGGCGAAGGGTCTCGTGGTTCCGAGGGGACGTTCTTCTTCTGGCCCAGGTCCGACGGTTCCCGCCCTCCCTCTGCGGGGCATTCCGAGGCGAGCTCCGGGTGGAGACTCAGAGCACGCGCTTTCAGCTCTGGGGGGCAGCCGGGGTGCTTCGGTTGGGCGGGGCCAGGACAGGCACAGATCGTTCCAGAGCGCTCCAGACGGCTCTCAGAGCGTCCAGAAGCGCTCTAAGAAGGCCACGGCGCCCAATTCGTCTTCCAGAACCGCTGGACCTCAGCGATCCCCGATTTGACCCTGTCCGATTTTGTCCTTGTCCTGGCTTCCTCTTATTCTGAAATCTTCCCCGCCTCCCTCCATCCTCCTTTTCATTTTCGGGTGGCACCCACTTTCCACCTGCATCGATCCTGGCCAGGACAACGCCTGGGCTTAGCGTGTAGATTGTGTGTGTGTGTGTGTGTGTGTGTGTGTGTGTGTGTGTGTGTGTGTGTGTGTGTGCGTGGTGTGTGTGTGTGTGTGTGTGTGTGTGTGTGTGTGTGTGGGTACCCAAGCCGCCAACGTTATTTTTTTTCACGGCGTGTGTCCCAGAGAGTCGATCCCATCCTTGGGGCGCTATTTTGTCGCGGGCCGTCTCTTCTAGACAGGCCAGGAGCCCGAATTCGAGGAGCCCGACGCCCGTCGTGTTTTGTTTGCCCTGCGACGCCTGGAAGTCTAGTTGACGTCCCTGGATTTCGCCTTCCTTTCCCCCATCGCTCGTGGGCGAGACACGCATCCGATTCGCGGCCTCGCGGGCCGGGCTCCTAGGCCGCGACCCCGTGGATGCGGGGCGTTCTTTCGCGGATGTCCCACGCGGAACGGACCCGTGCGACCGCGCATCCGCGGGGTCGTGCCCCGGAATCCCGACCGCGAGGGCACGGATTGGAATACGTTCACCCCTCGTGAACTGCACCCGCCCCCCCCCCCTCTCCCCTCCCTGTCGCGCGCGGGGGCGCCCAGGGAAGCGCTGCTTCGTGGCCTGGGCCAGAGAGCTGCGCACCTCCAGGGGGGGCGGCTCGCGAGCGTGGGAGGGGGAGGCTCGGAGGAGGAGCAGGTACCAATACCGTTACCTTTCCGTCGTTTTCTCCTTCTTTTGGGTCTCCAGGGAGGCTCTCGTCGCCACCGCTGGAGTCGCTTCGAGATCCTGGTCAGAACGCACCCCTGGAGAGGTCCGGGGAGTAGCGGTATTGGCACCTTTTGGTAACCCCCAAGGCACAGCGCGCCTCGCGGCGCGGTGCGCTAAACCGGGTGACCTGTACAGCCGGGGCGTTGGTTAAGAACTGCGCCCAGGAGACTTCAGACCCTGGAGGGTTTCTTCTTTGACGAGGGCGGCAGTGATGTCCATGGCCAATCCAACGGTTGGAGCTTTACTGGCTTCCAGACCCTGGGGTCCTGTTCCAACGGCTCTTTATCCAGTGCCCTCACCGTAGGTCTCCGAAGGCTCCGGGCGGTTCCGGAGGCCGTGCGGAGTTTCTAGAGGCTCGAGGAGGAGGAGGATGGACCAGCAGAAACCCAAAATTCATCAACGATGTTGGAATACACCTTCCTTCTAAGCTCCCTCTTCATAGGCCACTGTAAAGGTTCGTTTCCACTGAGGGAACTGCCTCGTTCAAAGAGATCCGTGAGAAGACCCTGAAGTGTGCCTAAGCACCATTCTGGGGACTCCAACGCCACGAATCAACATGACTGTTGAGTCTTGACGATCCAGAACCCTGCCAGGACACCATTCCTTGGACTTCAACACCGCGAATCTATGTAACTGTTGCGCCCTCACACTGCTGAGTCATCCCGAAGCACAAATTCTGGCACGTTGACCACGAGAATCCGTGGAACTCTTGTAAATGTTGAACGCATGAGTGCGGTGCTAAGGCGAGAGCCACATTCTGAAAACGAGCCGCCCTCAATCCGTGAAGCTCTTGCACATGTTTAAAGTGAATGTGCTCGGCGCTAAGGCGAGAGTCACATTTTGGAAACGACCCGCCCTCAATTCTTGAAAACCTCGCAAATGTGTAAAACGAATGTGAGCGGCGCTGATGCGAGAGGCACATTTTGAAAACGAGCCGCCATCAATCCGTGAAGCCCTTGCGCTTCTTGTGCAACAAATGTGCGCGGCGCTAAGGCGAGAGCCACATCAAAAAACGACCCGCCCTCAATCTGTGAAGCTCTTCCAGTTTTTTTAACGAATGTGGGCGGCGCTAGGCGAGAGCCACATTTTGGAAACGACCCGCCCTCCATCAGTGAAGCTGTTGCCACGTTCTAAGCTTCAGGGTCATAAATGGCGAAGAAATCTCAGGCGAAATGCGACTGGCCTCGGGGTGGGACAGGGGGGAGTTAGTAAGACGTAAAAGGGATGGAGGAGGATGAGGAGGAGAAGGAGGAGGAGGAGGAGGAGGAGGAGGAGCAGGAGGAGGAGGAGGTGGAGGAGGAGGAGCAGGAGGAGGAGGAGGTGGAGGAGGAGAAGGAGGAGGCAGCCCCCGGCGCCGTCGCCGATGACGCCGACCGCGACGACGCCGACGACGACGGCAGCGGCGCCCGACGGCAGCGGCGACGGCGGCGACGCCGCCGACGACCGAGCACGGCACAGGGGCGGCGATCGCGCCGACGCCGACGGCGGCGGCGGCGGCGGACCCAGACATCCAGAGGCCCGCGCGGGGGTCCCCCGGAGTTGGCCCAGAGGTCTCCCGGCAAAGGCTTCCCAGAGGTCTCCTGGAGGTTTAAACAAAAAGGGTTCACAGCGACCACAAGCCTTGGGCGGCGTCGTCGTCGGTCGTCGTCGCCCTCCTACCACAATTTGGTTAAAGCCGACGCCAGAACCCCTCTCTGCGCCCATGCCATCCCGTTTTACGAACCGCAGCCAGACTTGGCGGCGGGACCTCCTTGTAACCGCTCAAAACTTTCGAAACGACGTCGCCGTCGCCCCGCCTTTTCGTCGGGTCCGCCGACCGTCGTTGATCATCGTTGTCGCCGATCGTCGATCGTCGTCGTCGTCGTCGTCGTCGTCGTCGTCGTCGCTTCCACTGTCGTCGCCGCCGTCGTCTTCGCCGCCGTCTTCGCCGCCGTCGCCGTCGCCGCCGTGACCACCGCCGCCGCCGCCGCCGTCGTCGTCATCGCCGCCACCGCCGTTGGCGCCGCTGTCACCGCCGCCGTCGTCGTCGTCGCCGTCGCCGTCGCCGTCGTCGTCGTCGTCGTCGTCGTCGTCGTCGTCGTCGTCGTCGACAGCGAGGAGCGACGCCCCCCGTCGAGGCCGCTGGCCTCCTCGACGCGGCCCGCCTTCGGCGCGCGGAGGCGGCGCGGCGCGCCGCGGGCGCCGCGGGGCGCCTGGGTAGCCTGGAGGCCGAGCTGGCCGAGGCGCGCAGGGGGTGCGGCTGGGCACGCGATTCGAGGCCTCCTCCTCCTCCTCCCCCTCCTCTTCTGCCTCCTCTTCGTCGTCGAATTACTCGACGTGGGGATCTTGCCAGCCTGAAGCAGATCCCTATCCTCGAATGTTTGGCATAGCCCTGCCGCTCCACGGCGACGCACCTTGCCATGTGAGTGCCCTCCCCCTCGCCGGCCGCTTTCTTGCCTTCCCCTCCATCCGTCGGGGTAATTTGCGCTTTCCGCTGCCTGGACCGCTGAGCGCGCGTGCCGACTGCCTCTGCCGCGCTGTGACGTAAACATGTTTGGCATCAGCTTGCCTCGGTGCCGATCTGAAGGACCCTCTCAGTTTCTGAGGGCGCATGCCCAAGCTTGGCATCTCCTCGGGCGTCCCAATCTTAGGGATAGGGAACTGGTTTAGATCCCCAGATGTGCATCTCCTGTCACGTCTCGCTGAGGAGTTCTGTCTGTGACTGACTATCTGGGTGTGAGAGCGAGTCCGCGCAGACGACGGGCGCGACAATGACGACGACGACAGCGACGACTTCAATGACGTCATCCTCTTCTTGGGCAGCTTTCAGGAGAGATGAAAAGCACAGGTGGGAGCGTGAGGGAGCATTTGACCACCGCAAGAATTGATATTGGGCGAACCTGAGTGTGAGTTACCTGAGTGTGCGTGAATCTGAGTGCGAGTGGGTCCGGGTATGATTGAGTTTGAGTGTGCATGTGTCAAGGTGTGGGAAAATCGGAGTATGAGTGGGTTTGAGTATGAGTAATTCCGAGTGTGAGTGAGTCTGAGTGTGGTTAAATCTGGGTGTGAGTGGGTCTGAGTATGAGTATGCTGAATATGAGTGCGCGTATAAGTGAATCTGAATACGAATGAGGCTGATCATGAGTGGATGTGAATGAATTTGAGGGTGGAGGAGTCTGAGTTTAAGTAAGCCTGAAGGTGCGTGAGCTTGAATTTGTGTATGATGATTCTGACTATCAGTATCAGTACATCTGAGTCCGAGTGAGTTTGAGTATGAGTAAGTCTGAGGGTGGGTAAGTCTGGGTGCGAGTAACTCTGAGCGTGAGTAAGTCTGAGTATGAGTTCGTCCGAGCGTGAGTCTTGGGCGGGTCTGAATGTGAGTGGGTCCGAGCATGAGTGAGCCGAAGTATGAGTGAGTCTGGGTATGGTTGAGGTCCCCGCAAACTGGGCGCGAACGGGCCCGTGAAATGCCCCCCGGCGCCCAGGCGCCTCTTCTTGGGGCTGAAGCCAAGACCTCGCTTGCGACATCCATCAATTTGGTCCAAAACAGATGGCGTTGGTCATGCAAACAGGCAGATCGCCTGAGACATGCACACACACACACACACCGGCCGCGAGTGGGCCCGTGGGATACCCCTCGGCGGCTCCTCCTTGGGGTGCTGAAGCCAGCGCCTCGCTTGAGGCATCCTCGCAAGCTGCTCCGAAAGCATCGCGTGTTGGACATGCAAAAAGGCAAACCGCTTGAGATATCCTCACAAACTGGGCGCGAACGGGCCAGTGAAATACCTTTTGGCGGCGCCCACCTGGGAGTGCCGAGGCCAGCGCTTCGCTTGAGACATCCTCACACAATCTTCTCCGATGCGTGTGAGTGTGAATACATCTGAGTGTGATGAGTGAGCCTGCGTGAGGAAGAGAAAGGACGGGTGAATGCGAGTATGAGCAAGTTTGAGTGTGAGCGAGTCCGAGTTTGAGTGAGTCTGAGGGCGACTGAGTCTGAGTATGTGTGAGTCTGAGTGTGCGTTTGGGTACGATTGAGGAGAAAGAGGAGGAGGGGTTCTTTCCTTCCTGATGAGTTGGAGGCGTCTAAGAAATAATTTCGCGACGCGGATATCACACATGTGCATATCACACTCTCGTCACGTTTCGCGGAGGAACTCTGTCTATGTCGATCTGGGTGTGTCAGCGAGTCTGCGTAGAGGACAGTCGCGGCAATGACGACGACAACTTCGACGATTTCAATGACCTCCTCCTTCTTCTCCTCCTCCTCCTCCTCCTCCTCGTCCTCCTCCTGCTCCTCCTACTCCTCCTCCTCCTCCTCCCCCCTCCTCTTCTGGACATACTTCAGGAGAGAAGAGGGAAACACAAGTGGAAGAGCGACGGGGTGCCCCTCTTGCGGTTCTCCCCGCGGCAACTCAGGCAAGCGCGCATGGCGTTGCCACGCTCGCTCTCTGGTGTGCTATTCGCGGCACCTGCTTGCATTCGGTGTGCCCAAGTGCCACGCCGGCTATATCGCGTAACCATTTGTGTGTGATCCTTTGTGCGAGAGATTCTTAGCGTGGTTGCTCTGAGTGTGAGCAAATCGTACTGTCAGTGGGCCTGGTCACGATCGAGCCTGAGTGTGAATGAATCTGGAAAAAGCCAGTGTGAGTACGAGTGGGTCTGAGTATGGACGAGTCTGCGTGCGAGCGAGTCTAAGTGCGAGTGAGTGAGTCTGATTGTGGGTGAGTCTCAGCTTGAAAGTGATGGATACAAGCCTGAGTCAGAGCGGGCCTGGGTGCGAGGTAGTCTGGGTATAACTAAGTATAAGTGGGTTTCAGGGCTGGTGGTTTTGAGTGCGAGTGGGTGGGTCTAACTGCGAGTTAGTTTTGGTGTGGGTGAGCCTGCGTTTGACCGAGTCTGAGAATGAGCGAGTGAGCACGTGCGGGTCCTGTGTATGATCGACAGTCGAGTATGGACGCGTTTGAATGTGACGAGTGAGTCTGAATGAGGAAGAGGTTCTGCTGAGTAAGCCCGGGCGCGAACCAGTGTGTCTGAGTGGGGAACACGGCAAGGAGGTGAGTGAGTGAAGGAGGAGTGCGCAAGTCGAAACAAAAAGTCTGGGGGTGCAGAAACAGGCACACCGCGTGAGACGGTCCCCGATTTGAGCGTGAATCTTGAAGTGTCCCCACCCCTGGCGGCCCCGTTTTGCGATGCCCAAGTGCCGCGCCTGTTGTATCACGGTGGGCATTGGCCAACGAAAAGAGGAAAATGTAAGGAGGGCAGAAGCAACCAACCGCCTGAGACATCCCCACCCCGATCTGAGCGCGAATCCTGGAATGCCCGCACCTCTGGCGGCTCCCCTTGGCGTGCCCAACTGCCGCGTCTGTTATATCGCGGTGAGCAATGGATCACAAAAAGACACATCTGGGGGGCAAAATCAGGCACACCGCGTCACACATCCCTATAATCTGGTCGCGGATCCTGGAATGCCACCCTTGGCAGCTTCCCTTTGGGGTGCCCAAGTGTCACGCCTGCTATATCGCGATGAGTATTGCACCGCAACAGAACATCTGGTGGGCAGGAGCAGGCAAATCGTCTGAGGCGTCCTCACAAACTGTTCCGAAATCGAACGATGTTGGGCATGCAAGCAGGACGACCGCTTGAGACATCCACACAACCTGTGCGCGAACGGGCCCGTGAGGTACCCCTCCGGTTGCTCCCCTCTGCGGGTGCTGAAACCCGCGCCCCTTGAGACATCTTCATTATTACATTATTGCGAAAACAGAAGATGTTGGGCATGCAAACGGGCAAACCAGTGGAAACATCCCCACAATCTGGGCGCGAACGGGCCCGTGACTTTTTTGCGCCCTCCAATGGGAGTGCTGAAGCAAACGCCAAATTTGAGACATCAACACAAACTGCTGCGACAGCAGACGATGTTGGGCATGCGAACGGGCAGACGTTTGAGACATCCCCACAATCTGAATGCGAACGGGCCCGTGAGATACCCCCTTGGCGCCCCCCTGTGGGAGCGCTGAAACCAGTGCCTCTCTTGAAACATTTTTTGCAAATTGCTGCGGCAGCAGGGGATGTTGGGCATGCGAACAGGCAAACCGCATGAGATATCCCAACGATTTGCGGGCGAATCCTGGCATGTCCTGACCCCTCGCGCCCCTATTTGGGAGTGCTGAAACCAGCTCTTCGCTTGAGACATCCGCAAAACTGCGCCTCACAAGCTGTGTGAGCCTGAGACTCAGATTCTGTCACACGCACACAACAGTCTGGGCCTGAGTACGAATGAGTCTGAGTCTGAGCGAGTCTGACTGTGAATGAGTCTGAGTGCGAATGAGTCTGAGTGTGAGTGGCTCAGACAGTGAATGAGTCTGAGTCTGAGTGAGGCTAAGTATGCAGAAATCTGGGTGTGAACGAGTCTGAGCGAGTGTGAGGGAGTCTGTGTATGAGTGAGTCTGCGTATGATGAGTGAGGCTGTGTGTGAGTGAGTCTGTGTGTGATGAGTGAGGCTTAGTAGGGAAAGGGGGAAGGAGGTGAGGTGAGCGTGAGCGGTCTTGGAACCGTCTAAGTAGTAGCAATGATCCGACCTTAGGATATGGGGAGCAATGGCCCTCCATCTTAGGACATGGGGAAAACAAGCACTCGTTCTAGATTCCCCGTGCCCCACGTGACCCATTCTGGTGCCAGAGCGCACGTCATTCGCGTGATACTTCTTGTAGTGGCCTCCGGCCAGCGCCGCCGATCCGGGGTGCAACGGATTCTGCTAGCAACGGATGACTTTTTATGTTTAAACGTAGAGCACTCGCTCGAGACATCCTCATAAGATAGAGATGTTGAACTCGCTTGGGCAACCTTCGGATATTCGAAAGTGACGATCTCGCGTAAACAGCCAAACTCATGGGATGTCCCCTCCCATTTTTCGGGCCTGAATAGCGTCAGCCACGGCGTCAGCCCTCGCCCCCCCCCGACTCCCCCGTCCCGGGCGTGAATGGCGTCAGCCATGGCGTCGGCCCTCCCCCCTCTCTCCTCTCCCGAGCCTGAATGGCGTCAGCCCTGGCGTCAGGCCCCCCCCCACAGTGAAGCTTGTGCGAGCTCCCCCGTCCCTCCCCCCTCCCGGGCCTGAATGGCGTCAGCCATGGCGTCAGCCCTCCCCCCCTCTCCCCGACTCCTCCCTCGCGGGCCTGAATGGCGTCAGCCATGGCGTCCCCCCCCCCCTCCCCCCTCCAGATCCCCCCTGGGCCTGAATGGCGTC